GTAACATGGGAATATACGGTGAACTTAGGGTAATAAATCAGAAATATCCATTCTAGTCACCTTTATGTTCTTCGGCACTCCTCCCTATATCCCAATGATTAATCTGTAATGTAAAAATTGCCTGGAGACAACGAAAAGACGTTAGGAGGATTGTCCAGCTTGCAAATTATCGTGCGCCTTCCCCCCGATTAAGAGGTCACACACTTCCGAGGGGATTGTGGCCTGCGCGTTGGAGCGCCTAGTGAAGGATGATTAGGCAGGTTCAAGAAACGTGTCTATATTGTTCTAAGTCACTGTTCATTAAATAGGGGCTCTAACTGTCCATACTTCATCGACAGATACATGAAACAATCCCGAGGTCACGGTTTGCTGTCAAAACGAAAAACAATCGTCTAAACGGCATATTTCACACCAGCTTCGGGACAGAACAAGTGCCGTCCAACTAGAAATTCTAGGCACTGAACTTTCCAACCAACATGCCTTGTATTTTGATCATGAGATCATCGGTAGCGGCGCGATGTCTGGCATGGGATTCTTCGCGAATAACTTGAGCATCGTCATGATATCTAGATATTCGTACTTGGTAGAGCATGACACCCACTATAATGTCAATTTGCCTAAAAGTCTAAATTCCAAGTAGAACTGGGAGATTCCCAATCCAGTTCATATCGCCATACTTCGCAAACCCTGAGCGACATAGTCGCAATACTCTGATATCTCTGGCGTCCCTGATGAGCGCATATTGACGACAGACGGCCTGTGCGTGATATCCTACTTAGTAGGAAGGACTGAAAGCTCGACTACAAAGATATGTGAACATACAAGCTTCGCACGAAATGACAGAAGCAGAGCGAAGTGAGCGCGCAGCGGTAAACAAACCAATATGTGCCCTGGTGTGAAGCCGAAAAACCTTCATAAAGACATTCTAAACTTCAATTATTATGTCCACGACATTGACTAGTCCGACATTAGCGGGTGCGAGTGTGACGAAGTTAAGAGTGCTCGAACTGGTCCGCCGGGGCAGATAAATGCTTGGGAGCACTTAATCGGACATTAGAGAACGTGCTGATGAAATCGTGCCGTCGGTGTAGTCACCTGTGTTCTCATAGGGTGTGTAGCAAGCTGCAGCGGCGGCAGTGAGAAAGGAAGGATAATGAACGCACTGGCTGAGACCAATCTGTCAAAGGCGTAATTATATAGGCGGTTAGAACGTCCGGCTGCATTTTGCAAAGTAATCCAACTACGCATTTGCGGCGAACAAGAGGTCAACGTTGTGGGTTGTTTTCGCTAAATCATAACCACGTGACCGGAGTTGGAAAAGCCAACAGCGTAAATACGGGACCTCTGCAAGTGTAACAACTCAAGAACGCGTCTTACTCCGATCTCACAGACATGATGATGGGCTTCTCTCTTCTTTGAGGCGAGTTCCTCTGAGAAAAAGAAAGGCACAGATCAGTATCATGACTGGCAACTGCGGGTAACCATTTCCTTGTTATTCGCAAAACACAGAGCGCATGATAAATGAGATCTCCAATTAGTTCGAAAAAATTGGAATTGAAAGTATTTGGAAAAAAAACATAAAGGAGAAAAATGCGCACAAGGGATTGCACTTTAGTTAGCAAACAGGCAAAAATTCAGAATGAGTTAGAAGAGAAATTTCCCATGCTATACAAACGGCAGGAACACCATTCACGTTAGCAAACACAATCACCTGTCTTGTGTTAAGCAAATATAGGGTCTGAAATTTTAGCACACGACTGGAAACTTTCTGTTGCAAAATAGGACCCAAAGTTCACTTGCTTTGAGGCGGGAGTTGACCTTTTTCACGGAGAAGACGGATGGACGGACTGCGGATGGTTATCTCAGATTTAAAAATCTATTCAACATACACAGGGATCAACGTCCAAAGAGCTGGAGCGTGAACAACTGAACTCCATCAGCGGTATTGACGATGATTCAGTCAGCCTTGTCCTTTCGCGACCCTCGAAAGAGGGACTTTGGCAGGTAGCTTTTGGCCGTTGAGGATACACTAGACTCCACAGGTGGCGCAGGCGAACACTGTTCACTGGAATTGTCGTTTGTGGTCGCGTTGGTCTCCGTTGCTGGGGCTGATCGAAGGCCTACAAGACCGACCACTCCGTTCGCCACACCTGTTATGGCCGAACTGCCGGCACTGACACCGCTGCGCAAAACGCCGAAACTGAGCGAGACGGCACCCGTAGCACCAGACCACAGAGTGGACCCGACAGAGCTCAACAGCTGACCAGTCTTAGTAACCATGCCCGGTTGGGGGGGAGAAGGCGGATACGAGGCTTGTCGTTGGGCCATTGATGTTGGGATAGGAGATGATTTAGCGGCTAACAGAGACGACAGCCCATTTAAAAAAAAACAAACTAAGACATGTGGTAGTGTTTTCGTTTGTGAGAGCCCGAATTAAAAACATTAAGACTCGAAAACAAAATAAGAATTTGTGGGTCCCATTTTTACGTAGGATTACTGAAATAGGGGTGCGGTGCTGCTAGTTGCAGTTTGCCATGAATCAGTAGGCTCAGATTACAAGATACTGGAGGAAAATGGGAAAAATATTAGGGTGGCTAATGGGTCACGATAAGCAATGTCTTAAATTGCTATGTAAAGTACGGGATCATGTTCTAATCGTGCAGTGGAATCTCTCCAAATACACCTAGTAACATTCGTCATGCTTATTTCAGTGAATGATCGTCTCTTCCTGTCAGTACTAGAGGCACAGGAAAGAAAAGCATTAAGGATGTCTATATTGCACGACCTAACCACAAAAATGCAAAGTTCAACTATCTACCAGTGGAACATGAGATGGAACACTATATAATGCCCATGTCGCTAATACCAATTGACCCACGGAACTTTCCTCAAAAGTCATTTACCGAACTCGACAGTTGTGTGAAGGCAGGTCATTGAACTTGAGATGCTGCCCTGCAGAACATACGAACTTGCTTGCTTAAGACAGTGCTATATATTACATTAACGTTTGGCAAGCAAGCTGAGAATACAGAAACCCTAGGGACAAGTATATTAAAAAAGTGACGTTTTAAACAGCTGGGAGACGACACCTATCGTCAAAGTCAGAGCCATAGGAAAATCAATCAGGACTATTTTCCAACGTATTAGATTATGAGCTGGCCGATACTTTTGCAAGTTCTGTCCTGACTGGTAGTGGCCGCTCGACAAGCGCGACAGACACGGTCCAGAGTTGCATGCGTATTTAGAGGTAACGTTGGCCGGGGGTGAGTTGGCCTGCTGAGAAGGTAATTGGCTTGATAATGCGTCGGTCCCCAGCATGGCAAAGTTGTCAGATAGCCTCTTGGTAGCGTACTTAAACACTCTGCGACAATCTTGGTTTGACGGCGTAAGTAATGTCTTGGGAACTGGTAAACTGGAGGGGCCAATGCGCCTGTTTATCAAACTGGCGTCTCAAAACCTCAGATTAAGATGGTCTCGCCTCTAAAACCGAAACCGTGGTCAGTTCCTCTATCGCGCTTTTCGGCATGAATTTAGGGTACAGTCTCTCTGATGTCAACACATGCCCGAATAGGAGCCTCCTCAGCTTTCCTCAGATTTTGCAAAAGTTTTCAGTCCTCATTGTTGCACGGCTTATGTTTATAATTTCCGAAGCTTCCGTAAGTTATAGTGGGTCCTTTGCTTGCCCGACCTGGCAAAACATAATAGCCCGGGATGGCAAACCTGAGGGACTTCGTTTATCAAGTTACCGTCCCAGTGTCCTTGTGCACGTAGGGCCTCTTTTTCTAGACTTCTGAGAGCGGTCCTTTTGTCGTCGTACTTGTTGTTCGCACAAAACTGCAGAAACATCTTTGTACTCTGAAAAACTCACAGAATTGTGGTTGTTCGGCCCTTCAGTCAGTTAGTATGTTGCAGTTTGTACGGACACAACGGCGTTTGAGAGTTTGGGTAGTAATAACTGAAACTCAGCCCTTGTCTAGTGTTGACGGCTTTTCAGAAAAGTACCGCTTTAACTCCGTCAGCTGCAAATCAACGCACATGAATGCCGAAGAATATTAGCCGAATGTTTTCGCTCCTATTGTATGTTGGATAATCGAGTCAACGGAGTCCAATAGTGACTTGGAATGTTCTATATAACCCGTTTTGACATTGGAATTCACTTAAGTACTAAGCCCAGAACTTCTGTTGGTACTTAGTGAAGATCATGAGGTCTATTTGTTGAATGACACATCTCTTAGTCAGGCAGAAATAAAGAGCCAAATACAACATCTTTAATTTGTTCACACACCTGTCAACGGCAAATGAGGTAGATCTTAAGGTGATGTCGCAGAAGTCTGGTTGGGTTGTGGAATTCGAAGCATTACTTTTCTCATCGTACCAATCAAGCACGAATCTGCATATAGAGTTTAACATTGCCTTTCGAGGAACTGACGCGGAATGAGAAAATAGCGATAAAAGATAATATTAATTTTGCTCGATTTCCGTGTAGTTCCACTTTGACGACCGATAACAGCCTCAGCTTGTCACTAAATCTTCCGCAGAGTCTTTTATTCCATCTCTGTATGTATTGTTAAACAAGCCTTGGGTTAACGCGAAAAAACTTAGTAGTCCGGCATAAATGCTAGGAGAATGCCATTTGACAAACTACATATTCATAAACAGGAACAGACTCTTGTATTGTGTGTGTACGCAACTGTCCCTATGTTCCTTTCCAAATTCTATCGCTGGTAGAATTTAGAGGAAAGATTAACGGCTGGGATTCTTGACAGATGTCGTCGTATATGCCAATTGACAGAACGTCCTAGGGCGCTTTACTATATCTTCGCAATGACCGTATAACGAGTTGGAAAGTTCCGGAAGTGTGTTAGGAGAATAAGAAACAGAAAAACTGTTTGATGAGTCGTTTATGATATCAAAGGGTGCCTAATCAAGGTAAGAATTAGTCGTTAGTGAGCGCGGGCGTTTCGACGACTTGTCAAAGAATAAAAATCTACTTGAGTTACCGATGACATTTTGCAGGTCCATTTCTCTAAACAGTTAGTTACTTTATAGGAGCAGTCGAAAAACCGGCCTAGCTGGCCTCTGAGCGCTATAGACGACAGTGCTTTATTTATAACGCAGAACATTAACGCATTATGATATGACCATGACGTATGCAGAAAATAATGAACAGTACACGAAAAATCATGCAAACAGACATACAATAACTAATTCAATTAGTTGACAGATCGACGAATGCACATCTTTTATGCTATAATAGAGGGCAAAACCGAAATGAAAAAGAAAACGTCCACCACTTTAGTTCTGACGTGGAGTTTGCAAAAAATGTCTTAAAATCCCTGATGTTGTCTGAAACTGTATGTCGGCCGCGAAAATTCCACTGTGAACCACAATTTCAAAACAAATTCTTCCAGTTGTCTGTTGGCCGTTCTTCAAAACCTCTATAGATGTGAGATCACTGAGGAGGTGTTATGAAACCTATAAAGGTCAGACCCTTTACGCGACAAGGGTTGCATGTTTGACCTTAGGAATACTATATTTTAATACAACTTCAAACTAGGGACGATGGAGTGAAGCGTATTAATCTTCAAAAGGCGCATATGCCCCTAAAGAATGAGCCTGTTATTTTCGAAAGTTATGAAACTACCAGGTATTTGATGGTCCTGTATGGACGGTAATGTTGAACACGTTAACAACTGTGGCGTCAAAAAATCTAACGAGTTTGGTGAATGGGACACAAAAACACCAGATCGCTCAAGTGCAATACCTCATTTCCACCGAAGATGTAGGCTAAGCCACATACATTTGTTTAAGCACTGAAGTCGGCTTTTACGTAACCTTAATAGCGTATAGGAAACGTATACCATGGATTCAAAAAGAATTAAGACGAGGTGAAAGTAATGCTCCGCGATTGGTAGGGCTATTATTCAGGTTACAAAAACATTTTACACGGCTATGTATATGTGTAGAAATTGAACAGCATCTGCAGATGCGATCAGACAGACGACGGTAATGTCACTTTTCCTTGAACTTATTCTTCAAAAGTGCCATCAGCTGGCGATCTAGAGCGTATAAGGCTTCTGATGTGCAAACACATGGCAGCATTGTCGGCAAAAATGGATGTCGTCATGGAGGGCCTTAGGAAGGTTATGGGACGTCAACGTTTGTTGGAGTCACAGATCCTCCAGTGGGCAGACACTTCCAGCCAGGCTGCTACCCAGCTGTCGCCGAACCCCGTAACTCAGCAGTTGCGTACGGCGGCTGAGTTTTGTCAGCTGAACGTCCAATTACTGGAAAATAGCTTCCTAAACCAACTGGTATGCTCTCTTTGCGTTAGACATCCTACCTTACATGACTTAGTGGGCAAAACGTAGGCGACTTCGTGAAATGAATATTTTTCGCTCTATTCGAGGACGAAATAGGTTTACATGTAAATTTCAAGGGGAGGAAAACGAAAAAAGGCCTCGGCGAATCAAAACTATACGAGACTATAGTTCGTGTGTCTGTCATTACTTGCACAGCTCTATGATATTCAGAAGTCTTCACAGCATGGAACACAAGCGGCGGCATACGGTTATCAGACCTTGAGTCTGCTTTTACCAAGCGCCTGAAACGGTCGCTGGACAGCCATGTACAAAGGAAACAAAAGTCGCAAGTTAACAGAGAAGGGGGTGATAAATCAATTTTCATTTATCAAGAACTAATTCTGACTTGTAGACGACATCCCAGGAGTTTCTACTGATTGCTGACCCCGGTCGACACAGTGACCAACGAAGGGACTCAGCAAATTTGCTTAAGCACTGTACATATCAAGCAATTATAATTTTAAATATAATTAATCCAGAATAACCGTCTCCAAAGTTCCTCTGGGTAAAAGCGGGAGGAAAAAGCACACGAAAAGGAATGAGCGCGCACGGTATTAAGCCTCATTTTCGCCGTCAGTGTAGTATATCGATTAAGCGATATCAAACAGATATTTATTTTTGCGACAAAATAGATATTCAGTCGATATATGAATCTCGATAAATATATATCTACTAGACAGAGTTTGCTAATAAGATGTAATATACGTGAAATAATTGAATAAGAGGCATGATTAGATTATCTCATTGGATACGGAGAGGCCTGACTATAGTCTCAAACGTTAACAGTCGTGTAATTTAAATGCAGTAAAAACCATCCCCTATGTTAAAAATGAAAAAATTAAAATGAAAACAGAGTGAGATGCAGCGAAAACAGTCGGAACTTATGCTGATTGTGGATTTCCAGCGAGAACAGCAATTTTAACTACCTGATTCCTTGTCAATGTCACCTTCTGGACCATAACGAACGCGCTCGTCCTGATCAACTATCTCTGTCACCGGGAGTTTCAATATTTTCTCTTCTGACTAGGAAATATGCACCAATTTCGACAACCTACACCGCTTTTCCGTGGACTCAGCATCAGGCTGCGCAGTAGTACGTAATAAGGCAAAGGCCGCCACGTTTTAAAAGACCGCTTGCATCGTTTGAAAGCCTAGCTTAATGTTCGGAGGTCAAATGGAGAGATCACAGTTCAGAGGTGCAAACACAGGATTTATCCGGGAGGTAAGATCTTGAACATTTTACTGTTCTCCCGGTAAAATATGCATAGATATTTATCTAAATCAGATCGTTAGAATGCACAGTAATACTGCGAAAAACATATCGCCAAAACCTCTATCTGCTACCGGTGTGAGGAGATTGCTGAATGGCCTGAAGGACCGCACTTACGACTACGTGTGCGCACTGAATTTTATTCTCCTCTTTATTATGTTAACATTTCATCGGAATACAGTAATTTTATACCAACCAATATACGAATCATCTTTCTACGCAGTGAAATGAAAGAGATTCGGTTAAATAACTAGCAGATAGCGTTAAAGTATATGCCTCATGTTATCTGCTTATTACCGTCCCTGTAGTTGCATGAGCATTGCTGGTCTATTCAGGCTTGCCTCTGAAATTATGTAAGGAGGTATTGAGTTAAGTTCAGTTGCCTGGGAGAAATCTAAGACAAAACCACGAGGTAGCGCGGAGGATACGTAGAGGATAGGGAGCAACGGCATTCGAAGCATGACACAATAATTTTAAACATAAACTATAGTGAACTTTTTCAAAAAGAACTCATGGGTTCTGCTGAATAATCTGTTTGACCAACATCGTTCGTCCTTCGATCTCCTTTTCATTTCAAACAGTTGTTGCAACAGGGGTATGGTAAACCAAATTATTGCGATTACTCTTCTAATTTTAATGTTCCTTAGTGCTAGTTAGCTTTAATAGCTGAATAGTAACGGGAGAAGGGCGCACGTTTATGTTTCATTTAAACCCATCATATATTACTGTTCTGTTGTCCATGGAAAGTAATTATAAGGCGTAACTACTTCCGATAACACCGGAGCACTATCTACAAACGTATTAAGGGGCACATGTAGGCATACTATGCGGGCGTTGATGAACCTGAGTGCTCTGTTCCATCAACATCATACGCGGTGACAGATTATCCGCCTGAAAGGCAGATGCCTAGTTGAAATCCAGAATTTAACTTAGTTAATTTAATCATTTTTATTAAAGACCCGTCGGGGTCCCATCAAAGCAAGTAAAAATAAATTTACATGCGAATTTTAGACGAGGTAGGCAAAATCTGTACAAAGTGCAATACATAGTTTTTGAGATTAGAAGTCCCTTAAGAAAAATGATAAGCAAGGAGTGAAAAAAAAAACTCCATTTGAAAATTTAAAAATGATTGGATTAATTTTACAAGAGAAAAAAAAACCCTCGAAAAAAATAGAAACAGAAAAATGCGGGCAGGTCTGGCCTGCATGTGGCGGTATAGAATGGATTATAGTCGGACATCAACAGGGCCGAAATAAATGTCAGCTGTACATGGCATTGTATAACGGATTTCATAAAGGGGGAAGTAGGCGGGTCGGTCAGGACTGGCCTTTATGTGGCTTTAAATAAGGCAAATAAGTGGCGAACTTGAAAACCAGTCTCGAGGCGATAGGAACCCAGATGCGGTCGGTTTCATTCATCCGCGTACATCCTAGGATGGGGCAAGGGAGATGCGACCAGACTACTAGTATATCGCGAATACAGAAGGCTTCGCCAAGAGCGTCGATGGAGCGCATTCTGTGAAGGCACGATGCATGAACTGAAAAATTGTTAAAATCAACATTTCTGGTAAGGGATCGTAGGAAGCGAGACTACTCACAAAGGAAGGAAATGTGAACAGATAAGGAAATTTTATGGCGGCATACTAAATTCCCGGTGGCCCTTTCTCAGTGTCATAGAAAAAGTTGTCTGGGAAGGATGAGGAAAATAAAAGTTTAATCGAGTCAGTATTCAGATAAAGGCGTAGCCTTCTCTTAAAGGTGTGTAGATTTTCTGAAGATCTTATATTTAGTGGAAGGTTATTCCAGAGGAAAGTATATCTGGAAGCGAGAAAAAGGGAGCGCTTGGAGGTGGAGGACACTGGAGGAGGTATTATCAAGGACGAGTTGCGTAGATTGTATGGGCAACTACTAGGGGTGAGTGCTGAAATCCGATGAAAATTTGAACTATGATTAATGCGAAAGAGGAGACAGAAGCCCGCTTCTAGACTTTGAACCCATAAAAATTTTATGTTAATTAGTTGGCATCTATCTGAATAGATATTTGGATGTTCCCTATCTAAAAGTCTTTTAGAAAAACGTCTTTGGACATTTTCAATTTTTAAACGACTAGCTTCATTCATCAAACCAAAGAATGGGCAACAATACTCGAGAATGGGAAGTACAAACATACGATAGAGCCTTAATTTCAGGCAGCTAGAAATTGTAAGAAATAAAGCCACAAATATGGGCAGCTTTGACTGTAATTCTGTCAGCGTGTGGCGAGAGATCAAGATTACTAGTGTAGCTTAAACCTAAATCCTTGACGGTGGTACATTCAGTCATAGATGTGCCTTGAAAGACCACTGGTTAGGGTAGCCTCTCAGGTCCAAAACACATATAGCGACATTTAGACGGAGAGAATTCCATTAGCCATTTTGAGGTCCAAGCTGTGAGAGCAAACAAGTCAGCATGGATTTGATCCAGGCAATGAATGCTCGTAGAGTTTTCGAAAGAATATACACATTTGAGATCATCGGCATAAATAAGTAATTGAGAATGTTTAACTGCTGCCGAAATATCATTTATGTAAAGCAAGAACAAATGAGGACCTAAAACGGTACCTTGTAGGACACCACTTACAGTAGGGCTTTCCCTGGAAAGTGAAGATCCCACCAAAACCTTTTGTTTACGATTAGACAGGTAAGACCTGTGAAAGTCTATTAGTGGACTGCGAATACCCGTAACTTCCAATTTAACCAAGAGTCTTTTATGTGGTACTTTATCAAAGGCTTTACTAAGATCAAAATAAATAACGACAACAGATAGATGATCATTACGAAGAGAGGTAAGTAGATTGAGAAACGACAGATGACATGTTTCACAAGAACGATCTGGTAAAAAACCATGCTGGGAAGGGCTAAGAACTTGATTGGCTATGCACAAGTCGGTTATTTTTACGGCGATAATTTTTTCAAAGATTTTGGCGAGAGAGGGTGTTTAATGGACACCTCGATAGTAATGTACGTCAGAACGACAGCCAGACTTAAATACTGGAATAATAATAGAATTTTTCCAATAGTCAGGAAAGAAGCAATTTACGAGAAATATTGAAAAGATTTTGCTAAGCAGAGGAGGAAAATCTCTTGGCTGTTTTATAAAAGAGTTTGGGAAATTGTCCGCACCTTCTGAGTGAGAGTTAGGATGATGGCTTATCAGGAGAAAAATTACTGATGCTAAGAGAAGCATCAGACAACGAAGAAATTAAAGGGATTGGGTCAGTTTCGGTGGTGAAATTTTTGGCAAAGAACAAATTTAAAATTTCTGCTTTGCCTGACTCCTCTGTAATGAAGGCATCGCTAGTACTAAGCAAAGGCGGAATGACTTGGTGGGACTTAGCAGATGCTCTTTGACGGAAGATCTGAGCAACTGATTTAGAAGCATTCACGTCATTTATAGCTAAAGACTCTCTACGCCTATCTCGCGTGAGCCTCATTTATGAAGCTAGTTCAAATACTTCAACGATTCTTAAGGAGCTAGTGGATAGGTCACACAACTGCCGTCCCAACTTTTTAGTCTGTTGTGAAGAAAATGAGGAAACAGGGAATCTGAATAATCAGGCTTGAGATATCTACGCGGCATAAACTCTAGGATGTCCTTGGAAACATTGGACGTGACATCACGAAGAACGGTTGCGTCGCTACGGAAGAGGAAGCCACACCAATCGAATGATCTAATATAGTTATTTATTAAGTCATTATCTACGCAATTGTAGTTTAGTTAAGTCCGAACGGTGCTGGTCTTTTTTGAAAAGGCAAGCGGTAAGCAACAATAAATTA